GTGAGCGGCGCGAGACGTCTGCGGTGGCTTGTATCCGATTCGTTTTCTGCTTTGGCCAGTCAGCAAAGCAGTCAAAGCTTCTTTTGGGATTATTGTCGTTGCTAATTGGCTCTGAAGTAGAGTTGATTACATCATTGTTGGACGGAAAAGTACAGGACAGCAGAATTTGGAAAGTTGAGGACATGGATGTTCCTTAAGGCAGTTTCCAAATTGTTCAGATTCAGAATTGTTTCCTTTTGCGATCATAAAGCATCCAAATGCAGTATCGGTGACAATGTAATTGTCATGTGATTGCAAAAAGAACATAACATTTATTTTAGTGAATGAACTGAATTGCAGACTTGTGGTTTGTCTTTTAGGGGAAGAGCTTTTTTTTTTCTCCCTTCCTCGGGGGTGGGGGGGGGGGGCAAAAACCCGACATTAAAATAAACCGAGACAAATATGTGGGAACAAACAAACGACGTAGCTCCTCAGAATCAAGACACGATGGTGTGACCACGTCAAGTCTAATTGATAATAGTGTCCGCAGAACACAAAATTACGTTTAATGCTTTGCACTCATTAACAACATGCACGTGCGGGCGTATTTGCGACACTTCATTTAAACCGAAGGACTTGACATGCCTTGCTTGGTGCTGCTGTTTTGGTTAGCAGCTGGGTTCTGCCCATGTGTGATGTCTTTGAACTGAGGTAGTTTGTTACTCTTTCTAATCACTGTCCATTTTATTTGATTAATTATTTAAAGGGAGACTAAAAGTAAATATAAATGTACATATAAATACAGTATACTGACTGTGTTATTGCCTTTGCGTTTTGCACCATCACCACTCAGATGCAAGATGTAAAAGTTTGTAAAACCATTTTCTTGAATGAAACGTTTCCTTTCCTTTCCGCCCAAAATAGAACCAATTAGATGAAGCCCAAGATCAAGACGTTTTCATCATTTCCTTTCATGTAACGTAACAAGGCAGAGTGCGCTGATTGGTTTGTCATTCTGGAGAACTTGCAGGCAAGTCTTTCGAGTTTGTGGCGTGAGATATGGTAATATTGGTTAGCAAGGGATTTATGTCAGTTGGGCACTAGCTCAAGCTCAACATTGTGCGAATGCTGACTCAGCGATCCAAAGATTAGGGTCAACGTGAGGTGTAAGGCGCTCAAGGCTGCTTTTGTTTTCACTGTTTTTGAATTTGTCTTTTGAACATTCGGTCATCATCGTACGGTTTCATACCAAAGTGACACGTGTATATTCTTGCATCTGTGTGCGCTGTCTGGCCCGTTTGTTGCACACGATGCACTCCACCAAGATGAGGAATTCTAATCCCATGCAGGCCGCGAGCAGTGAACCGTCTTGAGTCGGGTCAGACTCAGCGGGTCCCGGACCCATCGGCCCGCTCGCCTCTCATTGGCCCCGTCATTCTAGCTGTGACGCTGTCCGCCAACAGAGAGCATAATTCGTGCCCGTCGAAGGCGGGGGACATCCTAATTGAAATTCCAGTCCTTTTATGCTGGAATGGAGCGGGACCGCTAGCCCCGACACCCACCTTCTTACGCTGACCTCTGTCATCTTACAAAGCCCATTTTGGAGAGAGTTCACATTCTGGGCGAGCGGTGAAAGTGACGTTCAAAAAGATGGATGGATGAACACCGCTGATACTGTACCGTTCGCCCTCTGGGCTGTGTTTTGAAGCCATCCCACTGCGGCCACTAAAGGACTTCGCTGTCTGTGGTGACTCGCAGCCTGTGTGGTGTGAATGCAAATGCCGGAATGAATTGGTGCCATTCTAATAGTGGACAAATGAGCACAAGGACACTTTTTTTTTCCTTCACCCCCTCACAACAGTGCACTGTGCTGCTATGTTCAGTCTCACAATAACAGCAGCTGCTGATTTATTGGAGATAATTAAACTATTCTCATCCTATTGTTGGCTTTCAGGGCTGTTTGGCGCGGGTGTTTTGTTTTTAAAACTAGGGTCGGTGCTCGTTTTGTTGGAATGCAAATGTTACCTGGGAGTCATGGTAAAAACACAGTAGAAGACATAAAAAGGCGGGGCAATCAATGTATCATCCCTTTGATTTCGAGGTGTTTTACTAAGAATGACATCATCTTGAAAATTCATGTCAGTACCTGTGAGCTTGCGATGATCAAGGTGTGTTTCTTGTTTTGGAGCATGACTCATCAACCTGAGCCCATGGTTACCATTCACTGTTGTACTCACTCACATATTCAGTGTTTCCTTGTTTTGTTTTGTCCCCCCCTCCCACCAGGGATCGAGCTGTGCCTGCCAGGTTGGCGCTTCTCCATGACCATGGTGGCCAGTTTCGTCATGCTGGGCGGCCAGTTGCTGATGCCAGGTGTGGCTTACCTGTGCCGTGATTGGCAGGTGCTCCAGGCCGTCATCATCTGCCCCCTGCTGCTTATGCTGTCCTACATCTGGTAAGTTGTGACCCAGGTCCTCACTGCAAATTTTTCAGTTCATTTATATATATATTTTTTCCTTTTCGTGTTGGGGCACGGGTGGGCCATTATACGACCTGAGGGAAACAATGTCATGTGAATTAATGTTATGTGTTCATTTCACCATTTAAATTGGTTCAAAGGCATCTTAATAACAAATCTCTAACCTGACATAGGTTACCTCATGGGTCAAACCTGTACACACCTTAGTTCTTTTCTTGTGGAAATTCACCTATTTGAGAGTTTGGTTCCTCATTCCATATACTGCAAAGCCAATGGGAAGTATGTATTTTAATGTCATGATGACCTGCGACAGAGCCATGGGTGGCTGCACTTCGAACCACTAAAGCCAAAAAAATTCACTGCAAACAGAGACGCTCATATGAGCCCTCACAAAGCAGCATGGATTCTATTTTCCCCCAAACCGGAGAATAATACTTGTCGATTGTTGGTTGGACCCCTACATGTGGCGGCACGGACACATTGGCAATCATGTGCAGTGCTGCTTCGTTTTGGTCTTTAATGTTGTGTTCGGTCCCTCGCAGTCCAGACTGCAAATACTTAAAAGTAAAAAGGAGACATGTTCTTGTGGGTAATTCAACGTTACACGAATTTGTTCACTTTCTAGTGACCTTGCCCGAGACTGGAACCGCCATCCATCAGCGCACTCCGTCTTGTACTATATGTACACTGCTGAGGTCGACAAACTTGGAGGGAATTAGATTTTATGGTAGTGCGTATGCTGACGTTTGGCGTTCCTCCAAGGCCTATCTGTGCAACTAAAGGTGGTTACGCTCAGTAGCTCTTGAAAGGGCTAATCTGATCAAATATCAATATTGGAGATCTTAATGCACACGAGTGGGCTCAGCTGACTGCTGGCTTGGGCTTTCCTCTTTAGCGGAGGGATGATGTACTGCGGGCGTCAGGCAAATATTGTTCGACCGTTGCTGTGCCAGCCACTTAGGGCAAATAAACACCTCACTCCAATAGACGGCTCCTTATTTCCATCACTAAAAAAATAGGGACCAATTGTAATTATTTCAGTTTCAAAGCACTATTATGTGCACACCGGGGCTATTTGAGCTGTGTTTCTAACCAAAACAGAAGCACCTCACTGACAATGAATTCAAGGTTTCTTCCCAACGTCGATGCCTCCATGCAGAGATGTTATTTGGAATATGTTTCTATTTTTTGTATTATAATTACGATAAATTATAAATCGCTCCCGAGAATAGGTCGCACCAGCCATAAAATGCATAATAAAGAAGAAAAAAAACACTGGAGTCAAAGTCGCACTGGAGGATAAGTCGCGTTTTTGGGGACATTTATTTGATAAAATCCAACACCAAGAACAGACATGTCATCGTGAAAGGCAATTTAAAATAAAAATGATAAAGAGAACAACACCCTGAATAAGTGTACGATATGCTAACGTTACATAACGCATAAACATCGAACTGAGAACGTGCCTGGTATGTTCACGTCACATATTCAGAGTTATCCAGATAACTATAGCATAAAGAACATTCTAACAAGTTTACCAAACCATCAGTGTCACTCCTAATCACTAAATCCAAAAAAATCTTCATCCTCCGTGTCACTTTTAAGCAACTCCGCCAGCTTCCTCTTCTACGTCGCTTACGTCAGATTTATCGTCGATTTATCAACACTTGCCTAACGCCCTCTCTTGTGGTTTAATGTGAAAATAACGTGAAATGATAAAATAATGTGTTAATAATTTAACACATAAGTCGCTCCAGAGTATAAGTCGCACCCACGGCCAAACTATGAAAAAAAATTGCGACTTATAGTCGGGAAAATACGGTAATTCACATCATACAGGTTCTCTGTAAGACGAGTAAATCATTTACAAAGGCATACATAAAAATGAAGCTTAAAATGTAGACTTAGATCTAATATTCTACATCAAACAATAAGCTACTTCTGCCTCTGCTGCACATTACTGTCATCATATGTGAGCTAAAGCAGAACATGGCAGCTCAAAGCAGAAAACAAATGGTGTAGATAGGACAGAAGAATGCACGCAGAATGTTTTCCAACCGAGTGCACGAGGACAGATTTCCTCCCGCTTTTCATTTTGAGCTAAATCTGCCGCTGCAGATATGAAAAATGAGGTTGAATAGTCCATCCTCTCAGCGAGTAACCTCATCCCGCTTGAAAATGAGGTTTCAGACTCGTTTGTCGCGACTGATGAGCGAGGATTTCACTCTCGTCTGCTTGTCAGGATCTTCCCTGAGTCACTGCGTTGGCTGCTGGCCACGCAGCAGTATTGCCGCTCCAAGTGGATCATGGGACACATCGCGAAGAAGAACTGCGTCAACATGCAGCAGGACCCGGACAACATCCTCGCAGGTAAACAAAATTAATAAATAAATACAATGAAATATTGAACAGAAATCAGCAGTGAGGTGCATTGCAGCGGCGCTTTCCTGCAAAAAGGCCCAAGTGAGACCATGAGATCAGTTTCCTGTCTGGTTGCCATGGCAATGGGCCACTCCTCAGGTAGAAGGAAACGCTGAACACTATATTATTGCCACACGAGGACTTGCTTCATTTTATTACAGCTCAGGTGGGCAGACGGGTGAGGGGTCGAACCCTTGAACCCACTTTAGCAACAAAGTGTGCTGTCGACGTTTCATACTTCTTTACAACTTATTTTGACGCTGATTTGGTTCGTCGGCAGACATTGACAGGATGGTTGCACCAGCAACAGGTTGCAATATTGTTTCTGTTTGACATCCAACTTTGGAGAGTGCTCGTTTTACCATGGACCAGACATTTCCAGATTACGAATAATGGTGCCAAAAGTAACAAGTTTTGCTCCGCAGCATAAGAATTCTAGAAAAAAAAAACGCACTCTGAAGGCCTGATTTTTCTGTTTTTTTTTTTTTTTGTCTTTTCTTTTTTTAAATTTTATTTTATTTATTTATTTGGGTTTTTTAAAAATATTTGTGGCCTCAAAATGTTTTGAATGGTGGTAGACATGATTTTTTTTTTCAGGGCTGAAACCATTTATTAGTGGTCATATAGATTAATAATAACAATGAATACAAACTCACACTCATAAGTTTGTTGAAAAGCCATAAAAAATGCGTGTTCAAATAACTTTTCAAATATTCAAATTTCAAAAAATTTTTCATTTAATTTTAGACGTGTAGAGGTCAAACAGCTTAGTTTTAAAATGTCAACAAAATTTTGGGCTCTGCCATGGTCATCAGCATCTCTCACCAGGATGTTCAATGAAAAATGGCTCCCTCAAGCTTTACAGAGCAAATCCCCCCGCCCCCCAATGTCAATATAAGGAAACATTCCATTATTTTTCTTTTGATTTCAAACAGTTCCCACTATCAGCAGCATCCCTTTTTAAAGTTAAGGTGAAAATTTAAATAAATAAATAGTTCCCTGACGTTAACCCAGTAAGTAGTTTTACATTGATCTCTGATTGGCTTTTGGATTTTCAAAATCATAATGATAATATGCATTAAATGCAAATTGGGTTTCCATTTAAAGGGGAAAGTGGATGTTGGGTTCATCTGGAAATTTCAGCCGAAAGCGTTCCATTTTTTACATAATACGTGATATTAAAAAAGTATCGGCGTTGTATGAGGAATATTTCCGCCAACTGTATGTAGATTTCTGGACCCTCTAGACTCGTGTTTTCTTCTGACGTCCTTGGACACTGCATTTCATTGTAGCTTTTTAAAAAGCTCTGATGCAGCCACATGCGGAACAATCAATTGAAGAGTGCAGTCAATGCCGCACTGATCTTTGGCCTCGAGCGTCTCGCTGGGAAGTTTGCAGCTTGGCCAGGGGATCAATGTAAGAGCTGAGCGATCCGGTCAGCGATAACCCTGCAGGCACGGGTTTGTGGAATGCTGTCACATGCCCCAAGTTCACATGCATGGAAACGCCGAAGCGCAAAGTGTGACGTGTGTTTCACCGGCAACCAAACACATCCCGTAGGTGCCATTTCTTCTTTAATAACCCCTCCTGAGTGGTACCTTTTCTTAGAAACTTCTCAGTGAAATATCACACCTGTCTCTCAAAACAGCACCGGTGCGAGCACACATGCTCATTTTGGTAAGTTTGTATTGGGAACTTTGCACTCTCTATTACGGGGTGGCAGGATACTGTTTGGGAACAACTCGGGCCTGTGTGTGTGTGTGTGTGTGTGTGTGTGTGGGTGTGTGTGTGTGTGTGTGTG